AATAATTGTTTAAATAGAAGTAATTCATATTTGTTGATAACAAAACGCATTAAATATGTGCATAATATTAGAAAATTAAATAAGGAAAGTGGTCTATAATTTAGGGGAGACGAAAAAAGGAAACAAGTCTATCCTTATGAACGAAATGATAATTCATGCATTTCTTGAGATCCACTAATCACGTTCATTTTACTCCCTCCGTCCCATAAAATATGTGTTCTATTTTCACAAATATTAATATGCATATACTAAGCTCTTGGTTTGGAACTTTGGACTTTATTTTAATGAGGTTTTGAGAAATTTGTATTTTGAAATAGTTATTTTTGGAGAATATATGGTTAAAAAGTAAGGAAGTTTTTGAATAAATGTATAATATTATTTTATTAAAAATATGTAGTTGAAAATAAAGAAAGAAAAAATTCTATTCAAGTAAAACGGAATCCAAATGGAGGCTATATTAGTTTAAATAAGTAATACATTTATTGATAATAGACATATTAAATAAAGACATATTAGAAAATTAAATAATTTGGGATAAACAAAGGAAGAAAACAACGCGTAAACAAATCACTAAATATCAATTTCGTAGAATTAGGGATTTCAGTCTTCAAATAAGAACGAATTAAAAGCATCGACAGTCTCGCTGTATTTGTAGTATATATGCATACCTACACATGATCCCATTGTCTTTATATTCAACAAAAATATAACCCATTTTGTCTCTTTATATGTACATCTCTCTCTAATTCTTTCTTCAAGAATCATTCAGAGGATAGAACAAATATTAATGGCTCAAGATATGGAAAAATCTTTGATAAATCAACACAAAGAAAAGCACTTCACTGCAGGAGAAATCGTCCGTGATATAATCATCGGTGTTTCAGATGGACTTACCGTACCTTTTGCTCTGGCCGCCGGCCTGTCCGGCGCCAATGCGTCATCTGCCATCATTCTCACTGCCGGCATAGCCGAGGTTGCTGTCGGTGCCATCTCAATGGGATTTGGAGGGTAAACTCTTGGATTCGTGTACACTAGCCTGAAAAATGGTTCAAAACATAGCGAAAAGGTACGAAAATTCATTTTTTTTTTCTTTGTATAGTTTGTGTGGATGAATTTATGTTGTATGAAATACAGGTATCTTGCTGCAAAAAGTGAGGCAGATCATTATATGAGAGAACTGAAAAGAGAATAGGATGAGATTATTGCTCTGCTTGATACAGGAGTGCTTGTCTTATATATACATGCTCGCATATATACATGTGAAGATTGTGTGTATATGGAGTTGGTTGGGTGGGTGGGTGGGGTGGGGGTAGTTTTCAGTTATCCTTTTTGCCCTTTTCCATCGTTGAAACACACTAATCTTTCTTGCTGATACGAAGTGCCACATCCAACCTTCACCAAGAAAGAAAGAACGAAAAGGGAAAAAAATGCAACATCAGTAACGAAAATCTTTGTTGGCCAAATTTCTGTCAATGACAATCTCGGTGAACACAGAGGATAGAATTATTTTCTAGACAAAATCAGTGTAAGTAATTGTGTTATGTCTAATTATAAGTGACGGCATTTTTGTTGAATATGCAGAAGCTGCTGAGGTTGCAGAGATACTATCAGAACATGGGATTCAGCCGCATGAATACACGTCTGTATTGTTGGACAAAATAACAGTAAAGTGCAGAAAAACTTATCAACAGATCGAGTTTCGTGACAGTACGATGTCCTAAAGC